GTGTCCTGTGCGCTGCATCATTCAGGAATTGGTGCCAAACCTGGAGGAATACAAGCAAAGGGGAGAGTCCATCATAGGGGGGAAGTTGGCCACCATTGCCGTTCAGGTTGCTACAGCTTTAACCTGGCTTCATGAGCTTGGATTTTTGCATCTCGACATCAGACCGAAATCTGTCCATTTCTGCGAACGCAGCCAGTGTGCCAAGCTGGCTCGCTTCCACCGCGCTTGTCTCATCAACAGCTCAGAGCCTTTGCAGTTTCCCCCTTATGTGGGGTCATGTCGGCCTCCAGAGTGCTATGGTCGCAAGGCAGATTTCCCAGTTGGAAAACAGACGGAAGCTTGGGCATTCGGCATCACCCTCATCGAGGCTGCGGCCGCCCAGCAGCTGTTTCAGAACATGTCTGACGTCCTCGACTTCAAGCTGAGCACCAAAGCACTGGTGCGCTATCCAGTCCTGGCGAGCATCCCTGAGTATGTGCGTGTAGTCGCTCTCAGATTTCTATCGGTGTCTCCAGAGGCACGGCTGGGATTGCAAGAGTTCGTCGACAATTCGGAAAGCTTCTGCAGGCAGCTGGCGAATGTTTGACTGCCCCGGTCGGAAATCCGATTATCTTTGTTAGCGTGCATCCTGGCCAGAGCATGAGAAATGAGCCGTTGTGTATGCTCTGCGCAGTTGAAGAATGCGTCTAGTGAGCTTACACACGCCCATGCGCAGCAGGGCTATTAGTGAGCATTGTCCAAGGAACACCCCCTGTCTGCATGAGCGACTTGTCATTGTCATGTCTGTGTATTACAAATCCTGTGGGTTGAGTGTGCCAAGGCTTCGTGGCTTCGTGGTGGGCCATGCTGGCACGGTTGAGACGTCCGAGTCCATGTCTTTCACAGGCCCAACCTTCGGACGTGCCGATGTAGTAGCGTGTACGAAACTATTTTTATAGCTCAACATATGATTGTTGCAGTTTGCCCGTGACATCAGAATCATGCTGATCTGAGAAGCAGGCAGTCCTCAGCGTCAACTTTGGGCTCAGATCCACAAGGGGCAGACCAATGGGAAAGGCCTGTAAGCGCCCGGCAGCTGCTCCTGCTGCAGCTGCCTCAGCACCGAAGAAGCTCAAGAATGTGCGCTGGGCAACGGAAGTGAACATGGTTTCCCCCAGCGAGACCGTGCTCAAGCTGCTGCAAGCGGCTGGCGTCCGCAGGTCTGCGAAGAATGAGCCTCTCAGGTGGGGATCGGCTTTCGATGGCCTGAACATGCCAGCCTGGACACTTCAGATGCTCAATGTTCCCACAGTTCAGCACTTTGGAGCCGAGATTGCCGATGCTCCGGCGTTCTTTGGGCTTCGGAATTTCAGGATGGCGCACGGACACCTCTTCCAGGACTTGGACTGTCATTGCACTGCACTGACTTACTCGATTCATAATGTTAATTACTGTTCTTGTTTTTGCAATTGTTAATCATCCTCTTGTCAGATCTGTATGTCGCCTCTGCTCATGTGGAAGAAAGAAGCTTGTGTTTGCAGTTGCAGGACGTATCCTCCCTTGCAAGCAGCGCTGGTGGCTTTTGCTTGCAGCATGACCGGAACTGCAGTCGGGGTTCAGGCGATGTGCAGGTCATGCTGGGAGGGTTTGTCTGCCGATCAAATTCGACACAGAACTCGGCGAGATATGTCCAGAACCCATTGGACGCCTCCACGTCTCAATCTCTCCAAACCTTCCAGGGTTTTACCGCTGCGCTGACCTCGTTGCGCCCAATGTTCTTCATGATGGAGAACGTTCTTGGATGCAGGCGTGGGGTCGGGGTAGAAAGCATAGAACAACCGGCTTCCTGCACCGTGCCTCGGGGTTTCGATTTAGTTGCAATGCCCTCAGGAAGAGCTGCAAGAAAAAGAACATGCACGATGCGGCTGACGATGCTGCTGCTGGCGACGATAGGGATGCTGCCAAGACACCGAAGGCTCCGCTTGCAACGCTTGACCTGTGACTTACGCTTTGTGGGTTGCAATTGCTTTGACAAACTTCCTTACCTGCAGCTTTGTGAATTGCAATTGCTTTGAGCTTGATTGCCAATGTCAGGAGCATTACGACAAAGTGCTGGCAGAGGCCATGACAGGCTACAGCATCGAATGCGTTCAGCTCTCCTCAGCACCCCTGCCGGAAATCAGGCCGCGACTTTGGTGGGTGGGCTCACGGTGTCCTTCCTTCAGCGCTTCACGTTGGAAGAGTGAGATCGAGCATATCCAAAAAGCTTCAGAGGCTATGGCGCAGCAGAACCTTTCCCCGTATTTCGAGGCCAGCTCCGACACGCCAGATGCAGAGATCACAGCTCCCTCCTGGCAGCGCGAGTCCAAGTATCACGAGATGTTTGCCAGCAACATGGCCAGAATGGGCAAGCTGCTGAAGGATACCGAGCCGCTGCCGCATGCAGATCGGCCCTCTCAAAAGCTGAAGGCCTTGCAAGCGGGCAGTCCTTGCACACAGGCAACGGCCGACATTATGAGCATGGTCCTGGACATCGAAATCCGAAGCGCGTCGCGTGTGCCCGGCTCAGCAGTGTTGACAAAGGTCGCTGATCTTTCTCAGACTTGCACACGGGCTCGGACCAGCATCAGTGGGCAGTGGGGCACACTGACTACATCGAGCAAGCTCTTCGATTTTGTGTCGGGCAAGTACTTGGATGTCAAGCATCATTTGCGGCTTCTGGGCATGGACCCGTCCCTGGTGACCTTGAAGGCTATTCGGGACAGCGAGCCTCGCTTGATGTGTTCATGGTGTTTTTACGATTGTTTCTTTGGCAGAAGGGGCCTGATCCCGTAACTGTAGTCACAGTCTGCTGTAAGCTTAGGAATTGCAAGACATGGCCGGGAACGCGATGAGCCTGTCCCAGCTGGTCAAAGTTTTTCTCCCTCTGCTTTCGCACTTGGGCTGGTTCGAGCCTGGCGATGCTATCCCTCCGGCTGTGAAATCAAGGAAGTCCGGGGGCAAGATGAAAGGCGCTGTTAAACTGTTTCCATGGTTTCTGGCGTTTTGGAATCCTCTTACTAGGTAGCCTTTTGTTTTTGCTCCAGGTGCCAACTTCGATGTCTTGTGGCTTCTTGACAGAGGGCTCCTCTCTCCAATGGGTTTGGATGCTGGTCAGTGGCCTCTCAAGAGTAGCGCGAGGATTCATGGAGTCACCCTGTCTGACAATGACGACCTCTTCTACCAGCAGTCTCGGGTCCTGTATGGCGAGAGCTTCCCCGACGTGTCTTGCATTGGGCGTCTGCAGAAGTTCACTCGTCCGGTGGTCGTTGCAGGTGTGCTGGGCAAAGCGAGTGATCTGAAGCAGGCATTCGAGTTCGTGAAGGAGCTGGTCTCAAAGCATGAGGTGAAAGCCGTTCTTTGCTTGGCCAGCTCACAGCAGCCGATTGATGTCGACTTCGACTTGGACGGATGGAAGGTGGGGTCCCAGGCATTCAGCTGGGGCACCTTCAGCAGCTTCGAGGCCACAACGTACGTCAGCATTTTCTTCAAGACCAACACCATGGATGGGCGGGACTTGGCGGATCGACTTGCGCACAGGATGGCGGACCTGAGACGGGTTCAAGCATTGCATGGGACGCTTCAGATGGTTCTGGAACCCCTCATCACCGGCCCAAATCTTCAAGACACGGACAAGTTGAAGAAGCATCAAGTGATGTTGCGCGAAGCCGTGCAGCAGCTGAAGAACAACTCCATCGATGGGCAGGTTTCGTTTGTGGATGTCGGGAAAAGGGTTGGCAAGGTGAGCCAGCGAATGGCGGCCCCATCCTCCAACTCCTGCATCTTGGCCTTGCGCTCTGCTGAGGACTATGGCAAGGTCTCATTAATGGAAGCCTTGGGCTATCGCAACAATGCGTTTAACATGTCTCTGCTGAAGCCCGGCACCAAGAGAAAGATGCTTGCAGGCACTTTGCCGGCTCTTTTGGCGTCTGTGATGCTCACTTGCTCGATGGAGCTGGTCAATGAGTGAAGCAGCGAGTTTTGTCCCGGGCACTCAGGGTCCCTATAGGCCGCCGTCTGTCATAATCAGATGCGGTCATGTGGCCTGTGGGCAGCCTGTCTTGAGAGCTTTGAGGCTTTGACCGTGCGGTGTCCGTCAAAATGCACTTTCCTGTCCAAGAGCATGTGTATTATTTACAAATTGTTTGGGTCAATTTTGCTTGGCTTGCCAGGTCCGGGCCAGGTCAGCGGCTGCGACGACAGCAGCGATGCGAAAAAAATCTGAGCCTGAGTGCTTCTATAGCCATTACACCCTCCCTAAGTAAGGCCATGGAAACGAACCAACGCCTGCATTTGGATTTGTTTATTAGGTCAAGTTGGGGGGGAGCATGGTCGAGGAGGTAATCGGGGGAAAAACTTATTTTCATTTTCTATACTCGTTACACGCGGCACATGGCAGCTTGCAAGCCTAAAACCGGCAAAAAGTGTGCACTTTCCCGGGCCTGGGCCACTCAGCAGCTAAGTAGGGTACCGCAGGCTTCCAAAACCCTAGGGGTTTAGGGTTTCGGGTTTAGGGTTTAGGGTTGAGGGAAGTTGCTGTCCACTTGCTTGTGCTCTCATGAATAGCTTGCGAGCTTGTACTCTACCAGTTAGCTTGCAACGGCAAGACGCAGTCAGGCCGGCGACTCAGTCCGAGGTTCGAAAACGGGAAGTTGCATGTCAAGGGACTTTACCTAAGGTGGTAAGAAGGGCGATTTTTACGAGTACATGAAGGGTAACAACCCTAAACCCTGAACCATAAACCTCTACGGGTACAGCCTTACAGGTACGAGTCCGAACCCCTTGAGCGTGTGTGTCGGCAGCCTCCGAGTCCGTTTAGGGTTTTAGAGTTTAAAAGCACCCCCACCCCTAAACCCTAAACCCTAAACCCCAAACCCCAAACCCTAAACCCTAAACCCTAAACCCTAAACCCTAAACCCTAAACCCTAAACCCTAAACCCTAAACCCTAAACCCTAAACCCTAAACCCAACGTCGCTGGGAGGAGAGAAGACTGGGACGGCGATCGCGCCGGCCCAGCCACAGCTCAACCGAGCCGGACACGCGAGGGGTGCCAGGGGCATTAACGGGGATGGGGTGTAGGGGTTAGGGTTTCGGGTTTTTTTTAGTTTTATTTTGGGCGGGTGTTTGGGAATCTGGGGTTTCTCGTCAGAGGTCTCGCCAGGCACCGCAGCGGGTCACGTGCACTGCAGTCCCTCAAAGAAGGGTTTACTGTAGGGTTTAGGGTTTAATTAGGGGTTCAGGGTTTAGGGTTTAGGGTTTATTGAGGGGTTCAGTGTTTAGGGCAGAGGGTCTAGGCTCCATAAACTTCGTTGCGGCGCTTTCGCGGCGACAGGCTGTAGTGTCCGGAGGCGACAATGGGGTTCAGGCTGTAGTGTGCCAGCCTAGACCCTATCTCATGGGGTTCTCAAGGGGTTTCCCTAACACCCCACACTGCTCCCTAAGGCTCCCCCCATCATGAACCCCCCTCGCTTAAGAACCCTATAACTTGGGAGGTTCCCCTTCTCCATATTGAGGAGTTAGTATAAGGAGGAACATCCCAAACCCTGTAACTACCAGACCCCATCAAAAAAGGGGCCTGTAAAAAACTTGCATACCGCAGCGGTGCGAGGTTGCTGCAGTGGCCTCGTTCACGCAGGATGGTTCGGGTTTACTACTACTACTACTACTACTACTACTACTACTACTACTACTACTACTACTACTACTACTACTACTACTACCACTACTACTACTACTTGCTTAAGAACCCCCCCGGCCCCCCCCCACCCTCCCGCCCAAAAAGCAATGATCCCTATATTGCCCTTAGAAGGAAGAATGTTCGTGTTTTTCTGGCGGTTCGTAGTAGTTCAGGGCTTAGGGTTTAGGGGGGCCCTTTTCGAGTCCACACTGTTGGGTGGGGGGGGGGGGGGGGGGTTGTGGGTTGTTGTGCCCTAAACCCTAAACCCTAGACCCTAAACCCTAAACCCTAAACCCTAAACCCTAAACCCTAAACCCTAAACCCTAGCGGGGGCTAAGGGGTTGTGGGGGAGTCTCTCCTGCAAGGTGCAAAGTCCGCCGCCGGAGCCGCCAACGCAGGAGGCGCAGCATTCGCTCTTCTTTTTAGCAGAATGTGGTTTTTCATCAGCTTAGGGTTTAGGGTTTAGGGTTTAGGGTTTAGGGTTTAGGGTTTAGGGTTTAGGGTTTAGGGTTTAGGGTTTAGGGTTTAGGGTTTAGGGTTTAGGGTTTAGGGTTCATGTACTATATTCTGGTAAAATACATTATGACATAATTACAAGACTTCTAGTAAATATGTAGACGATATAGAATATCATGGAACAATAGGATTTCAAAGATGGCTTGTCATGGTGTGCACTGGCGCTTGCCGCTCGATTGCAGGCGTTGCTCGGCACGTGTAGTTAGGGTTTAGGGCTACCCCCCCCCCCACCCCCCCCCCACCCCCGAGGTTCCCGCCTTGATAACCTGAATTAGGCTTCATCATCCCGAACTAGCCTTAATGGGTTCCCCCAAGTATAGAGGGTAGTAGCAAGAGATCCGGGAAGTGCTGAACAGTGAGGTTTAACCTCAGCTCTCGCGGGGATGGAGCCCCAAAGTCTCTGCACGGTCGATATGATTTGCTCTAACATGGCATATTGGGATGTTCCCCCTTGTACTAACAGTCCTTAATAAGCGAACATAGTCGGGGGATACGATAATTTCTATTGAGGACTGTTAGTATAAGGGGGAACATCCCAAAAAAAAACAGATTATGTAAGAACAGCAAGTTTTTGCTCCATTCAATTCTCAGTTGGGCCCCATGCGTGCCCTGTGCTTTGTTTGGCTGATGCGCGTCTGTGCTCGCTCCCTGTTCACCTCCGGATAGACATTGCAGTTTACGAAAAGTAGGGGACCCTAGAATAGACCCCCCAATAGTAGGATGCCCTTATATAAATGGACCCCAATAAGGTATCCCGAATTTCGGAAACTGCCATATCCCTAAACCCTAAACCCTAAACCCGCACATTGCTACCGGATTGCCATATCACGTTGCGTAGCCAGGTGACCAGCTGCTGTCGGCAGTCGTAGCCAGCGATGCGCTGCACACTTCTCAGGACGCACCTTGAAAGGGTTTAGGGTGGTTTAGGGTTTAGGGTTTAGGGTTTAGGAATTGAAACGCTTGGACAGCTGTGAAACCCGGCAGAGCTCGCGGGGTCAAAAAGGAATGAGCTTCAGGTAAAGTCCGGGGCTTTGCTTGCGATTCCAGGGAAAAGGGTTGAGGGAGCGACAGGACCAGGCTTTCGCACAGCTGCGCGAGTAGCTTTCTTGATGTGTCTTGAGTCTTTGGGGGTGGCACCCAGTGGAGACGAGCCAGACCCAAGTCGGAGCTCTTTCAGGATGCTTTGAGAGACTTCAGAGGACGTTTCCCTCGAGCAGAGTTTGGGTGATAAGAAGGGTTCGGAGCATGCGTGCAGCCGTGCAAGAAAGCCGAACCTATTATTTGCTTGTATACGAACCTCCCAAAAATAGAAAATAAATCCCCAAATTGCCCTTATAAGGGCGGGTTCTTAAGCAATTGGTAGAACACGAGAGGACCACTTGCACCAAGTTTCACGGACGACTTTCACTGAGACTAGGACCTCCAGTGGTGCCTTATATAGAAAGGGCTAGGTGGCCAGCTTCCCGCAGCAAATCGAAACAACGGTCACTCCATAGGGTACCCTTGTTTCGCTTTCCTAGGTTGGGAACCAGGGGCACAAGTTTCCACGCGGACAATCCCCGGGCAGCTGCGCAGAAAGAGCTGGAGTGTAGACGGCAGGGTATTTTCTTGGGGTATGGGATTTTCGGACTTTTGGTGCCATGCTTTCTTGCAGCCAGCCGGGGGGACGCCAGTGGAAATCCTGGTTGCGATTGGAGTTAAGGAGGTTCGGTTTCAGAGTCTACGGTAGGGTTTAGGGCTTTCCCTAAACCCTATAAACCCTAGAGGTCTAGGGTTTGGCTCGAAACCTTCGGTTTACGGTTCCTAGACCCAACCGAAGCTCTCCCCCCTAAGGTTTCCAGGAGGGTTCTAAGTAGGGCAATATTGGACCTCGAAGTACTAACCACCCAGAGACCCCAATACCCCTTGATTAAGGAATATTCCTTAATCATAGGGTTCCTTATATGGTTTAAGGAATATTCCTTAGTTAAGGGGTATTGGACCACTGTATGCTTGCGCGGGAGCTTCTCTAGCTTATAGGGTCCTTTTCAAGGGGATCCCATAGTCGCACAGAGCCGTATATATGGGGCGCCCTCAAAGCACCCATCATGTCGAGAATCCCCCACATGTGCAGAACCCTAAACCCTAAGCCCTAAGCCCTAAACCCTAAACCCTAAACCCTAAACCCTAAACCCTAATGGCGCCTGGAAGTTCGGTCATGTCGATCTGCGGGTGAAGCTTGGAGTGTCCTTACAAGGATGGACCTCGCCGCAAGTAGCCGGCACAGCTTCAGGTCGTCTGAAATGCACCATGCATCCTGTTCTAGGTGGGGCCCTCTAGCCTCTAGGGTATCTTCGATCTTTCCCTATTTGGGTTCTAGCGGACAATCTGTAGGAAGATGGGTTTAGAGGTTTAGAGGGCCTGCCTAGTGTTCATAGCGTTTCCAGCGGTCCGAGGCAGAAGGGACGCTCACGTCGTCATTTCTTTGCCCGAAACCCTAAACTCATAGGGTCGCTCCTTGCTTAAACCCAAGAGCATCGCTGTGATCTGTGCATAAGAGTCTGAGCCAAGTCAGAGAGCTCTCCCACATGCAAATAGTTTTGGGCCAGACATGGGTCAGAACGTGTTCAATGCGGCTGGCAGCCTGCAGCGTGGTGGCAAAATGTGTGCGGGAAGAGTCTAATAAGGGTAGTGAGATGGGCCCTTCGTATGGTCCTTTACCGCCTTGGGTTGTGTAGGGTATATAAGGGGTATATAAGGCGTCCCGATTAAAAAGGGCCCATGCAACTACCCTAAGAGTGAGCTGTCGTTCTCTTGAGAGCTTCGTGGTCCGAGGATGGTGCTAGACAAACCCTCCCCAAGCGCGCCTTTAAGCGCGAGCACAAGGTCTACGTAAAACCTATACAAGGATTCATGAAGACTTCCCGTACCTGCAATTTGATGGATTATGCCTACTAATTGAGGGGTAGATTCTACTAAACTGTAGGTAAATAGAGTTCCAGGTTTATTCTGAGGATTCTTGATTGGTTCGCAAAGGCTATGTAGTGGGGGCTTCCTTGCATGAGGTTCCAACTATTTCCGTCCAAGCCGTGCTTGGCCACTTGTATTACCTTTCCCTAAGCCCTCAACCCTCCCTGCGTGCAGGTGCAGGTGCATGCGCTCGACCTCACGGGTTTTGAGCACGGCCCTCATGGGGCAGGGGGGTTTCTGAGTTGTTCTCCGGGTTTAGGGTTTAGGGTTTAGGGTTAGGATCTGTTATGATAGCTGCCACAGCATGTTCCTATTTTGGTTTAGGGACCTGTGCATTGCTCACAGGCCTCTCACAAAACGGCTACGTAACCCTAAACCCTAAAACCCCAAACCCTCTAAAAGCCTCTCAGACCTTGGGCTTCGGAGTCCGAGCATGCGGGAGTACAAAGGGTGCACGATGGCCGGTGTGCTGAGGCCACCACGCTTCTCGCTGCGTGTGGAGTGCGGCGGCGGGCTCTATGTCCTTCGGCCCCTGAAGAGTTTTTGGGCTTTCCCTAAACCCTAAATCCTAAGCCCCAAACCCTAAACCCTAAACCTGAACTTAGGTTTAGGGTTGAGTGTTGAAGGTCGCGTCTTTGAAGGATGTGTATGCGGATACGTGTGTCATGAGACGGGGGCTCAGGGTTAGATGCAGGCAGTGGTGAGGATACCTGCCGCAAAACTTAGGATTTAGGGTTTAGGATCTAGGGCTTAGGATTTAGGGTTTAGGATCTATAGGGTTTAGGATTTATACCGATCTATAGGGTTTAGGATCTATAGGGGCTTAGGATTTAGGGTTTAGGATCTATGATGGACCTTTCGAGCTCCTCAGAACCCAGGGGTTGCAGTAGCCTGCTTTTCCCCTCAACCCTAGGGTTTAGGGTTTAGGGTTTAGGGTTTATGAGTTTAATTGGTTCACACAAAAAGGTCCGTTTGCAAAACCCAAACTCTAAACCCCTCTACCTTGAATCCTCAAACTCTAAAACCGAAACCCTAAAACCGAAACCCCCAGCGGCTCCGCATATCTTACAGGGGATACCATTCAAACTAACATGGCCAGAACCTAACTAGGGTTTAGGGTTGAGGGTTGAGGGTTTAGCCGTTCCGCGGAGAAAGGCCCTGATCTTCAGTGGGGTCAGTCCAAAAGCAGACAAGGGCTGCAGCTCCACCTAGGGTTTATTTAGGGTTTAGGGTCTAGGGTTTAGGGTTTAGGGTTGCACGTGAAAGTGCACTATAGTTTACGCGCCTGTTGGGCACATAGTTGTCGATGATGGTTTGGAAACCGCTTGGTTTCGCTGTGGTAGCGCTTGGGTCTAGTGAAGTTGGGTTCTTTCTTGAGCTTGTTCTGCTGAACTTCGAATGCGGGCAGCTTGAGAAGACTGTTCCCAGTAGTGCCCAAAGCAAGCCTTTAACTCGCAACAGAAGACTACCGCCAATCCACTTCGGGCAAAAAACCCCCAGCCCTAAACCCTTGTGTTCCTTCAGAAGTTCAGTGTTGCACGCCCTCAAGGCTTGACCACGATGTTCAAGCTTATGTGTCTTTTGGATTCCACCCTCAACGTTAAACCCTGTAGCCTTTCCGTATAAGTGTTCAACCGCAAAACTCCTATTTAAGAAGTTTGGTCGCACGCACGCTTCGAGGTCCGGACTCTGGGCTACGACCTTGCCAAAGCTGCCGGAGCCTTCGTCTTTGGGTCTTGAGTAGAGCTTTGGCTTCCACCCAGACCTCCTGGTTCTTGGTAGGGAATGAGGGAACCAGGGCCCCCCGTATATGTATATGTATACACACACATATATATATATGTATATATCCTTTGAGGAGGGTACCGCTTTCCCTCGTTCCCTACTAAGAACCAGCCCCGAGATCGCCAAGATGCAGCCTTCGGAAACCTGAACGTCTGAAACGCGGAATGTCTACCCCTAAACCCTAAACCCTAAACCCTAAACCCTAAATTCTAAACCAGGGCAGCCCAACGCTCCCCCCCCCCCTCCCCCCCCGAACTGCAACACACTAGACGGAGTATGGTATCGACACCCATAAGCCCTAAATCCTACACCTTTTGCTTTGGGATCCCTTGTGTTCTGTAATTGGGTTTTGGAGTACTATACTTTAATACTTTTTTTGTTCTGGGTTCCTACTATAGATACTTATACCTAAAAAGTATATACTTTTTTTTCCAGGGTCTACTCCAAAAGTGGGGTAAGGCATATTCCGTTAAAAAAGGTCTTGGGCCCGCGCCCCAACCCGCTCTCGGGGAAGTGTAGGGGCCTGCGGTTTGGGGTGTGGGGCTTCGGGGGTTCCTATAGTCGTCCTAGCCCTAAACCCTAAACCCTAAACCCGAAACCCTAAACCCTAAACCCTAAACCCTAAACCCACTTGGAAAACCAAGTCCCTGTGCTTCCAGTGACGGCTCGGCTGAGGGTGCCCTGCCCGTTAGACTTCTGCAACAAAACACCTGACTGGTAATTGCTCAATTAAGAACCTCCCAAAAAATATAAAAGTCTTCTTCCTTATAAGGGTAATATAGAGATTACTATTTTTCATTCTTCTGGGGTTCTTAAGCAAATAATGGCTAAGCCTCGGGGCCTAGGTCTAGAGGCAAAAGTTCGCTTTCGCAGCCAGCCAATAAACTTCAAGATTTGGGGTTTTCCTCATTTAGTAGGAATATCAGAGATGAACTTTTGTTTAGTCTTGGGTTGTTGGAGAAACAGGACAAGGGATCGTTTCAGGTCTTCCCCAGTTTGTTGCGACAGCAAGGTTGGGACCTGTGGCCACGTGGAGCCGCTGCCTCAGCGGGATCCATTTTCTTTTTGGGGTTTGGGGTTTAGGGTTTAGGGTCTAGGGTCTAGGGTTTAGGCACTTTTTTTGGGACCAACTGAG